TTTAACCATGATGAGATAAGATCTGAATCTTTTTTAACAATATAGTATCTTGTTCACTGCTGTTTTAGACATTTTCATTTATCTCCCTCAAATCACAGTATCACGGCGCCCTGATTTTAAATTAAATAAGTTTCGAGTCTCATGTACGCCCTGAAATAGTCGGTGGTAACTAAAATTGTTACAATTTTTGTGCGGAATCTTTTATGCCGTAATGTTTTAATTTCCGTAACAAAGTTTGATGATTAATGCAATCAACGGCTTTAGATAAATTGCAGAAAACCCCAAGAGCATTCTGCGACTTTTCCCAAGCATTAAATATATATTTTAGCATAGTGGCACCAGCATTAGTTGTGGAACGGTTTTTAGTGAAACCATACTGCGCTCTGTGTAAAAGTTTATTAATGTTAAAATGAGTCAACAATTGTTCTAACATTATTTTTTCAAAGATTTTACTCAATGCTGCTAATATAGATATTGGCCTATAGTTGCTAGGATCTTTACAATTTCCAGACTTAAATAAAGGTATGATTTTACTGTATTTCATAAGATCAGGGATCTATACATGAATTAAAAATATCAGCTAGGTAAGGGGCTATAGAATGTATAATATTATTTATGACTTTGACAGATATACCCCATAAATCAGATGCATTTTTCATTTTTAATGAATGGAAAACTTTAATTATTTTAAAAGAACTAACGTGCTTAAAATTAAACAATAAATCTAGGTACATATTTTTGTAACAGAGCTGTAGCAGTATCAGACGATGAGTCCAAGTTGGAAGTAGTTTCTAATGGTATATTCATAAAGAATTTATCGAAAATATCTGCGACTTCATGTTTCGATTTTGCGAGATTATTATTGATTTTAAGAACCATGCTATTTTCACGAGGCTTACACTTGCCACTTTCGCGCTTAATGACATCCCAAGTGGTCTTTATTTTATTATTAGATTTTTTAATTTTATCCCTAATAAAATTTGACTTCGTAGTATCACATATGCTTTTAAACAATTTGGAATATTTTCTAACATAGTTAATAAACTCAGGATCCTAGTTATATTCTTTGATTCTTGTTCTACATTTATATATACCACTTGTCGCCCAGTCACAGAACTGCAACCTCTGTGTACATTTAATGGTTTTCGGTCTGAACGTATTTTGAAATTCATTATTTATTAAATCAAAAAGATTTTTGTACAAAATATCCGGATCATCATGCGTCCAAGGCATTAAAAGAAGTTTATCGCTAATGTTATTTTTAAAACTATTTACGCGCTCATTTGTAATAGGTCTACACTCTATTATGTTCGGCTCAGTACTGACATTGAAACTGTATGTTGTCTTTAAACCGAGATGATCGGAAGTAATATCACTAAAGACTGACTTTTCAATTGCGTCCAACTCAGAAAAAAAGGTGTCTAAACAAGTGGCTGAGTGAGATGTTACTCTGGTTGGTTCAGTAAACTGGAAATTTAAATTAAAACATTTAAACAAGGTAATAAGCCGAAGACTTAAAGAGCTATTTTCAAGTAGATTGACATTAAAATCACCACATACTATTACAGATTTATTTTTTAATTTATTTAGAGAGTCCTCCATGACTGATTCAAATGTACCAAAGTTTCCTGAGGGGGGCCGATATACACATACTATATACAAATTTACCAACTCCACACACGACAGCTCAACATGGCGTTCCACTGAAAGGCTTACAATGTCCTTTCTTTCCTTACATTTCACATGATCTTTCACAAAAATTAAAGACCCACCATGAATAGCTGTCGTGCGTACAAATGCACTGCATAGTTGAAAATTGTTTAAGTAAAATGACATTTCATGTTGTTGCAGCCAGTGTTCAGTTATGCAGATGAGACGAGTTTCATGACTTTTAGCTAATAATTCTAACTCTAAGTCTTTGCCGGCCAAGCCCTGGATATTTTGGTGAATAATATTGACACAATGGGGCTTAGCTTTTGTCATACACTTCAGTTTAAATCTAAGGAGTTTATTGTAGAACTACAATTTATCAAAAGATTTGAATTAGTACAAGTGCTAATGTCAGTTTTTAAAAGAATTATTTACAATTTGTAAATTAAAAGCTAACAAATTAGCTAATTGTGTCTGAGATTTTTTTGAAAGATACATAGTATCTGAAGTCAGCTTAAAATTACTAATAAATTTATTAATGTCAAAAAACAAAATGACGTCACTATGACGATTAATCAGATTATACAAGAAGGTATTTAAATCAAAAATGCGCTTATTTTCATCCCATGTAAAGTTTTTAGCATAAGGGAATGCACTGATCAATAATTTGCAGTTACTTACGTTACGCTAGTGTTGTTATCCCCGACCGCCGCTGCGTTTGCCCAGGCCTGATAACACATCTGTTTTTGGCGAGATGTCAGTTTACAGTAGTGACCAAACCAAAGCTGGGATTTGCCACCAATGGGAACCACAGAGGAAGGAACAAAAAGTTCCATACCCTGAAGGACAACATCGGCGACAGAATCGGCGGCGACGTTGGGATCATTCTGCGAGAAGCAAACCTGGCCCCAAGGGTAGGATGAAAGGAAAGTGCGCATCCCATCCCAGTCTGCTGACTTATAGTGCCACACACGACGACAGCCAGCAAATTGCGGCCACGGTGAGTAAGTGAGTGGTACCATACTCCGGATTAGACAATGGTCCGAAGAGCCAAGAGGGGCATCTATGGACACTTTGTAATTATCCGGATGTGAAGTCAGCAGAAGGTCCAACAGTGAAGGTGTATGGTCATCGACATCTGGGATTTTTTTTTTTTTTTTAATACAATTACTCCATAGGCGTATGCCCATGCCATTATTTAGTTTAGCTTTTATAAGTTTTGATATATTATACATTTGTTTGTGCACTCAGTGCGGCCTTTTATATTTAAATCATGCAAACATGCGGCATGCTCACTTATGTCTACTTAACTAATAATATTAATAATATAATTTGGACATATTGTCCATCCCCTTTTTTACTGCTATGTTTTGCTAAATAACTTAAGTCTACTTGTTTCCTTAATCTATATTAGTACATGTTTGTGTAAAAATATGTCATGTCCGGTGTGGGGAGGTCGGTCCAGATATAGCTGTTTCAGACTTCAGTCAAATTTCTCATTATATTTACAGTGTCATAATCTCTCATACGTATCGCACTTTTGGTGTTATAACGGATTATTGTCTCCGTGGCCGCGCCTGTCGTTCGCTTTATGAAGCGGCTTACTGCGTCGTCGCTGTCGTCTGTGTAGTAGCAACAGCTGTATGTCGAGACACAGCTCCACTTCCATAGCCTTTGGCGCTCAAGGTTCCCTTCTCCTCTTGTGTATGTACTAGATACAGTGTATCTGGGAGAAGGGGTGGGATATTTGCCCCGGTATATCCTGTTAGATGGAGCGACCGGATCCGGGGTCTGTCGGAATATATCCCGTCATACACAGCGCTCAGGGCAAACGCGACATCCAGGGGGTTTCTCCTGGTGCAGAGCAGCTCTCGCGTGATGTTTGCCACAACATGCGGGGTCTCGTACCTCAGACGGAACAGGTTTTCTCTGTCAATGTAGGGCAGCTGATTTATGTCGCCCAGAAGTACGACCCTCTGTGCTCCTGTTATCTATCTGGGATTCGCGTAGGCGAGGTGACCAGTTGTGTCAGACCATAGGCCAAGGCGAAGTCATGAGCAGATCTGCCTGCATGATCGGTAGTGGGCGATCGAAGCCATTAGGAGTCGTGGGCATTGAAATCGCCAAGGATCACAATTTCAGATGATGGAATCTGCTGAAGCACGGAGTCTGTAGCCACCTGGACGTGATCAAAGAGTCGGTCAGTTTCGGCATTTCCGCTATGGGACCTGTAGAGGCAGGCGTAGACGCGGGGATGGTCATCGACGTCTACACGCAACCATAAGATGGAGAGGTCCCTACCTTCAAAGTTGCTGAGGCGACGGAAACTGATGCCCTCTTTAACGTACACACATACCCCAGCCCGTGGTACAACGGAATGTTCCAAAGTATACCCAGGGTACTGGAGGTAGGAGGTGTCGGCTGGAGAGGATATCTGCGTCTCAATCAAAAAAAGCAAGGCCGGCTGCACTGTCTGAAGGTGGTAGTGAACAGCATTAAGGTTGGAGTGCAAGCCCCTGATATTGCAGAAATCCACGTTAAACATGGCAGGGGGTGACGTATGACGCTTGCTCTGGCCTCGAGCAGTTTCAGTAATGAGCGCGGTTTCGCCGTCCCCGGAATACGAAGGGCAGCCTCGACGTCCACGTCCAGAAGGAGACAGTTTTGGGCATGGACGTCCAGAGGGGGATTCTCCAGCGTGAAAACAGCTGGTAAACCCCTGGGGTATTATCCTATTTAACTGCGCCATCATGAGGAAAGGGGGGGGGGGGGGCTCCGGTAGCCTCACTCACTCGGCGAAACACAGTACAAAGTACTGCTTCACGCTGGTATTCTGTGAGGTCGTGGTATTCCTCCGGTCGAGCCGGCCCATACATGCAGTAGCCTAAGCTACTGCGTGGCTCTCCCTCGAAAAGACTAGAAGAATTAAATACATATTTCTACGTTTCGGATTCTTTACAAAAAAATAATAATCCCATTGATAAATGTTTTATTTAATTAGAGTTGTGCGTGAAAGCTTAAGAAATAAATACACTGTTAACCATTTGTCTGTATACTAACTGGAATGCTTACGAAACAATATGGGAAATCAAAAAATGTACTCTGACCAGTTATACATAAGGTCCATTTTTGATTCTGCCTTCATAAGGGGAAAATAACTCTTAGCGCGACGATGACGAAAGTGGAATCTGTCCCTCTCTTGCAACTGTTTGGGCACACTACTAGAACGAGACAGATTCCACCAATTCAGCTATAGCTATGCTCTTCGACCGATTTTGAGGGTCGCGTTAGCATTCCAGTTAGTACATAAGTTCCTTGCCATTCATATTGTCAAGGTTATATTTACTCACTTTGCTTCCACAAACAAGCGTTTCCACTTCCTCGGGACGGAATAGTGCTGAAAGAGGGCTCTCGTCTGTGACCATCACGAACCCGCGTCGGAACGCCTTGAATTGAGTCTCGACTGACTTATTTAATAGGAAGTCTGCATATAGCTCCACAAATTCCTAAAAAACCATTCAGGTACAAATATTCATTGGATAAGAGCATTGACGTATAAAAACAAGTAGACTCCCAAACGCCTAAGAAACACAGAGGTATAAGAATAGAGCAGGGGAGATATAGACTCTACTACTAGTGGAAGTGTCCCTCTAATAGAAAGAGAAAGAAGATGAGAAACCGCTAGCTTTTCTCTCTAATCGCGGATGCGCATTGGCAACCGTAAGCATCTTACTATTTCGATGTGATGCCATTGGATGCCATTCGTCACGAGAGAGATAGCTAGCGGTCTCTCAGCTTCTTTCTCTTTTTACTAGACGGACACTTTTAGAGCCTCCTTCCCCACTCTATTCTTATACCTCTATGCTAAGAAAAGTGCACCAACAAACGTACGAGCTGCGTTCTACGTCAACTTATTGATAATGTAGTGGCAGTAAGGTTCAATGACGATTATATATGAACGAGTAATATTTTAACACGACGATTGTTTGAAAATTCTGCACAATAGACGAATGTGCTTAATTTTGTTTCCGACACTTTTTGAGCGTGATTGTGAGTCTACTTGTTTCTATATGTCAATGGATAAGAGGGAAACCTTCAAAGCTCTCGAATTAAGGATATCAATATGTTCTATGTACTAAGATGACCATTTTAAAAGTGTTTGCTGGTAAGTTAAGTAGAAGAAACTTCAGTTGTATGATGAAAAGATTCCAAAAAGACCATCTCAGCCGATCATGTAAATATTGAAAAGACCAGGAGGCCTACTCTTATTCAACGAAAAACGAAATTTCGATCGAAACTTCGCACTTTTCTTACTATGTTTCTGGTTCGTTTTTAATTAAGTATAATAATATTTGTCGTCTGGATATAGATTGAGGTGTAGATTTTCTAAGCCTACTCAAAGAAAGCTTCAATTTAATTGTTTATCGTTCAAATTAGGTATGACCTTAAATGGACGATATTACATTTCGTTTGAACTTCGTTATCGAAAGTTCGTTTCGAAGAAAGAGAGTAAACCCTTTGGGCCAAAGACTGTTGTTTGTTAAATTTTACTATTAGTCAACGTCATGCCAAATACATAGAAAATCGTGTAAAATTTTGACAGTGGTTATTTTTCCTTAAGGTATTTTAACCATAGTCACGTATGAAACAACAGGGCCAAATGTTGTTTACTAAAATTGAGTTACTTCATTAAGATGTTTTAATAGTCCAGTCAGTATTGTCGCGAAATCCGTTTTTCCTCAAACAGCTGGAACTATGCTAAAAAGTTTCTTAAGATAGTAAAGAACACTTTACATAGAGAAAAAAATGTTTCCAACCCCGGGCAAGGGTGAAAACCACCCTTAATAATCTATTTTTCCAATTATCTCAAAAAGTATACGAGATACGGAAAAAAACTTCAAATGAAAATTGTAGATCTTTTTGAAATCTACAAAACATTATTCCACCCTCTTGCCCCTATTTTCAATAGGGGAGCCAATAATCGAAGTCAAAGATAACTTTTTTAACTAACTTTAACTTTTTAAGTATTGAATCTTTGACTTCGATTATTGGCTCCCCTATTGAAAATAGGGGCAAGAGGGTGGAATAATGTTTTGTAGATTTCAAAAAGATCTACAATTTTCATTTGAAGTTTTTTTCCGTATCTCGTATACTTTTTGAGATAATTGGAAAAATAGATTATTAAGGGTGGTTTTCACCCTTGCCCGGGGTTGGAAACATTTTTTTCTCTATGTAAAGTGTTCTTTACTATCTTAAGAAACTTTTTAGCATAGTTCCAGCTGTTTGAGGAAAAACGGATTTCGCGACAATACTGACTGGACTATAAATCTTAGCATATCTAGCAGAGCCAAAGGTGATGATAAAAGCGTATTTACAAAAATTCAATATATATTACCGTTTTGTTATCTTGCGTTACAAATATACTATCGCCATCCTTCTTCAAGTCATGGAATATATTATTGCCGAACACATCGCTGTAACATATCCTAAACGTCTGATAATATAATTCTTGTAAATCATCTCCGGTATATTCTAACATGTCTTTTAGGCCTCTGTATAATATCTGTAAGAGAAAATACAAAAAAATGATAGTCGTTCTTTACAACAGGGTAATGGAAGTAGTTAGGTGTGACAACGTGCGAGTTGGCAACATCGCAGCAAATATCTTGAGCATAAACATTAGAAAACGAAGCCTGTATAGTAGCAATTTTACATACAACAAAAACGACTACTACGCAAGTTTATTTGTGAATGGTTTAACTCGAGATGTTTGCAGCTACCAAAAATCTGGTACCACAGGTTTCCGCAAATCAAGTACGGCTTGATATATGTTAAAATTATAATATTTTGGTCAACTATGAAAATGTTTTTCTAACATGTTGTATTGAACAATCACGAATTAATTTTATCTGGTTTTTTTAACGTGTAAGCATTTGAATTTAAGCCTTAGCAGAGCAGCGTAAGAATGATAATACAATGACAGCTGCCTCTGAAAACAAAGAATTTCAGCTAGCGGTAAGAGTAAGGATGACAATTTGTCTTATTTATATCTACCAGCTTGTTAGAGCAAGTGTGGCGATAAAAAAACGCAAAACCAATGTTATAAAAATTAACTACTTACCGGATTCCAGTCCGCCAAGTCTTCAAAAGATCCTTTCTTTCCCATGAGTTTCCTATATACGACCATAGGGAAGTCTACCGCTAGTATAATGTTGTTGTATATCGCCAGTCCTAGCACTATGCCGATTAGCGTGAATTGTGCTTCCGTTTCGAATGAGGTTGGGTTGAACCTACAAATAAAAAAAAAAGGATTTTGAGATTTAAAATGATAATTCTTTCTCTGGGAATTTCGCTCTTAAGGCTAGGTAATAAAAGCTACTGGGGTGCTACGTCGGAAACCTCCTTGTGTGCCCGGTCCATTTTCTGTCCCTGGTCAGTTATGATAGGGGAACGGAAATGGGTCCGGGACGGTGCATCCCGGGCGCCTGCGTAATGTCTCCCACTGAGGGTGCTGTTACGGAGGTGTCGAATAGCCGACAATCTCGTAACCCCGTACGTAGTGCGGGGCCGAGGGCCGCTAGTCTCTTCGGAGGGTGGGGGCCGTCAGGAAGAAAACCTCTCTAAAAAATTACCCGTTGGGGATCTCGGCTGGCGTCCTAGGCATCCCGGGTAGCGGCAGCCGATCAGTGGCCGACTTGTCGGCGGTGGATGGCGGACAGTGTTCCGCGGGGACTCCGGTCCCACGTGGCGATGCCACATCCGGGCGTAACTGCTCGGTTGGTGGGGCTTGCCTTAATTGGCTGGCCCAGCGGCCGTTTCAACGGCGTGGTTTGCGGACCTCCAAGGTCCGCGTGCGCGGCGGCCCCGTGGCCACGAGAGTGGTCACTGGGGATGGGTTTCGGCCTACCGTCGGGCGAGCTGGAGACCTGTGTGTGTGTGTCGTTGTCACGTCTAGCGGCACCACACAGGACCAGTGGGGACTGTCTTTGTTGGCCGTCCCTGAGAAGAGCATACCTCGTTAAAAAACCCCAAAGCGTCGGGTTCACCCGTTAACTGGCACTAATGGAAAGCGTGGTGCCAGGCGCCTTAAGGTGGTGGGCTGGGCAAATCCACCAACTAGCGCTTCCACCCCGGGGCACTGCCCGCCGCCCCGGGAGTATTAAGGTTACCCAGGTACAGGGGGCACTGCCTGGGTGGACCATTTATTTCCCCCACACTCGTGGGAACAATAATGCAGTTGAACAATATTAAAAATCAAAAATGTAAAGACGTGGAAGGTGGAAGAAGGGAGAGAAGGAGAGAGGGCCTGGAGAGGCCAGAAAGGGAGAAGGAGGGAAAGGGTGTCGAGGACGCGAGGCGTCAGAAGTTTCCTCCAGAACCTGGAGAGGGAAGGCTGACGAGGAGCCAGGCTGGTACCTCGAAAAAGGATGGGTCGCTGATCCTAGTTTCCGAGAACGAAGCGAGCGGATCTGCGGCAGATCCACATATGGACACGGGAGCAGAGTCGGCGGCCGAATCATTGGCCGGCTTGGTGACAAGCCGCAAGAGGAAGAGCATGGCGGCGAGCTTCCGCAAAGATGCGGGATCGGGGACGGCACCCGAGTCTAAAGTGGCCCGGTCGAGAGGGGGCAGAAGAGGCGGAGGTGCCAAGAAGCACAGCGTCGGCTTGTCGCGGGCCAAGAGAGAAGTAAGGGAGCTCGGCTCAGACTCAGGCACGTCTGATACGTTGACGGAGACGTTCACTGACGCCGAGGGCGAGATGGACGCTCGGACAAGGAGTATGTCCGTGCAGGACCTGGTAAAGGAGGCCTCAAAGAAGGCAAACCTCCTCCCTCCTGCGAAGACCGCAGAGGGTCATAGCGACCCGGGCCGTGCGGGCTTACCGCACGGTCAGCCACGGGGCTGCCTGCGTCCTAGCAGGCACGCTCCCGTGGGAAATTGATGCCCTGGTACTGTCCCAGGTGCATCAACACCGGGTCGCGGCGAGAGAGCGGGGCGAGCGACCCGTTCTAGAGGAGATAGAACGGGTCCGCACCGAGGCGCAGAGGGAGGCTCTGCGCCGATGGGTGGAGGCACTCGCCAGAGTGGGCGCTCCGGCATAGGCCACCACGTCTGGGGACTGCCTAGTACCCTAGCGCAGTCCCCCTGAGGCGCGTCGCCCGGTCCACTCATTGGGCCGGGCCTGCCCGGGGGCGTGCTCGGAGGGTGCGTCGGCCCCGAGACCGCCCCCATATGGGCGTAGGAGGGTACTGGGAGGTTTTAGTGGAGTAGGATCAGTGTGGCCTTAAGCACTGGTCATGCTTGAGTAGGGTCGGCACTGTTTCCCGTGCCGGCGAGTCCCACATACGCCGTGCGCCTAGTCAGCATCACGGTATGGTCAGCATAACTGCATTTCCACTCGTCACAAAAAAAAGGTAATAAAAGCTACTACTGAATAAACAACTTTAAGAAAACTACATGTCACGTCTTGTGGCCACGGAGATTGCAAATACCACAATCGCAAAAGGGAGGTTACTTTTAAATCGGGGATCTCTTCCTTGATTTAGATTGAAAAACTTTTCCTGGATGAGTTGGGAAAGGTGCCTCTTTTTCCACACTTTCCCCTTTTCAGCCCTTTTTTTGTGATAACACACGAGACAGTGTGAGAGGCCGTTTGCTGCGAAAATATGCCATAGTCTGGATTGAAAATCTTTTCCACGATGAACTGGAAGGATTCCTTTTGACACCGCTAGCTTTTAACCCTGGTTTGTATAATATTATTCACCACAACTGTGTGGTGAATAATATTATACGAACCAGGACAGAATCCATTTGCTGCCTGAACTTTCCGTAGTCTGGGTTGAAAATCTCTTCCACGATAAGCTGGAAGAACTATTTACTGACACTATCGTCGTCTAGCCCTAGATCACGTGTTATCACTTACCATACAGTGTGAGAATCCGTTTGCTGCGTGAACATTCCGTAGTCTGGGTTGAATATCTCTTCCACAATGAGCTGGAAGAATTCTTTGCTAACGCCGCCTTCGTCTACACCCTGTTCGCCCTCGAATTCCACCACCAGCTGCTTCTTCAGATCTAAAACTCGTTCCATGGCCACCATTTCTAACTGCGAATAAAACAATATTTCTTTTATTAAATTATTTATTATTAGTATAGGTCTGGTTCAAACGAATTTAGAGCAAAAGTAAACAAAGAAATAGGTAAGTCTGACCATAGACAGTTTAGTGATAGGGATTCATAAATTCGTTTGAACCAGACTATAATAAGCCTAAGCGGTGCGATAACGCCGGTTAGGCGATTGTCCTACTAGCAACGCGTCTCGCCGCGTTGCGCGGGGCGAGACAGATTACGGGCGCAGCCACGAAGGACAGTACCCCTAGCACGAACGAAAATCGAATTCGTTACGTTTGCGAGTCTGAAATCTCATTGTCAAATATGTACTGATTTTAAGTTCTCGTTACGGACTTTGTGGTGCTGCTGTTCAAGTTTCCATACAAAATTTTACAGTGACATTTCGCACTCGCAAACTATTCCAATTCGATATTAGTTCGTGCTAAGGGTACAGAACAGCGTCACCCCGAGGTTTGCTCCGCGGGAAGGCATTGTTGCAGTGAAGTCATCGATGATATGCAACCCATTAAAACATATCTTATTGTAATGAAAATAAGAGTCACTATTCCTCCCTCGCTCGACTAGCGTGTCGTCGATGATATGCGAGCGCCTCACCTCAACCGCCTCACCTCGACTAGGGACTATTGATGTATCTATGTTTATGGCTGCAACTCTTCAAACAAAACCCTAAAAATACACATGTGGCGTCGACATCTATATGCACCACATATAACTAACATGGAGGAAATAATCACTCGCCTCCTCAAGAGATGACGCTACCTGCGCTGCGATCACAATAGTATGAAGCCTACATCGCGCAAGTGAAATTTGGAAGCTAACACTCAGTATATACAATACAATGCCAGAACAACATCAGTTAGGCCGCGGCCCCCGAGCTACCACCACCTAACTCGAAGGAAGATCTTCCCCTTTGGCATTCCTACACACAAAAAAAACACTGAAAATAATGAGTTTTAATTCCCCTACCTCGACTAACGAGTCATCGATGATATGCGAGCGCCTCACTTTGGCTACTACGGCGTGCAAACTTATTACAGTGAAATTAAAGTAGATTTTCTCTCACCTCGACTAGGGACTATTGGTGTCTTTTCTATGTTTATGGCTGCAACTCTTTAAACAAAGCCCTAAAAATACACAAAAACAAAAAACACCGAAAATAATGAGTAACATTCCCTTACCTCGACTAACGCGTCATCGATGATACGCAACCTATTAAAACACAAAATACACAACATCTTATTACAGTGATATTAAGAGTAGATTTTCTCTCACCTCGACTGTTTATTGCTGCAACTCTTAATACAATAACCTAAAAATACTTAAAATAACGAGTAATATTTCCTTACCTCGACTAACGCGTCATCGATGATATGCGAGCGCCTCACTTTGAGCCTGAGGAAGGGCATGGGCGGCACAGCCCCTACTACGGCGTGCAGCATCGACACGCGCCGCTCGCTGTGCATGCGGATGCGGTTCTCGTAGTAGAGGCCGAGCGACTTACTGGCCGTAGTCAAGATGAACGGGTACTTGAGGAACGTAAATTTTTTACCTAGTACAAAAAAATACAGAAGTTCATTAATAGGTAGATACAAATAGAGCTCCTCTAAGTTTAGGTAATAAATAAAGAAAGATTCTCAGTAATTAATCTAGTCTTGAGCATAGTTAGATAGGGACGTCACTACATATAGCACATAGCGACATCCCTTTCTAACTGTACTCAAGTAAAGATCAACACTTAGTTGTCATTCTGTAATACGGGCCTTAAACTTAGAGGAGCTTTATGGCCCAAGTGGTTAGCGCGTTCTGCTGCGATCGTTGAAGTTAATCAACTTTCGCATTGGTCGGTCATTGGATGGGTGACCAAAAATTTACGATTACACATGCAGCCCTACACATGCAACCGGGACCAACGGCTTAACGTGCCTTCCGAAGCACAAAGGAACTCGAGATAGAAGATTTTTGGTCACCCATCCAATGACCGACCAGTACTAAAGTTGCTTAACTTCAACGATCGCAGCCGAACGCGCTAAAAAAATATAGAAGTTCATAAAGAGGTACAAATAGAGCTCCTCTAAGTTTAAGTAATAGATACTTAAACTTAGAGGAGCTCTATGGCGCAAGTGTTTAGCGCGTTCGGCTGCGATCGTTGAAGTTAAGCAACTTCCGCAGTTGTCGGTCATTCGATGAGTGACCAAAAATTTACTATCGCGAGTTCCTCCGTCCTGCGGAAGGCACGTTAAGCCGTTGGTACCTACTGCATCTGCAGGCGTTAGCACCTACCAATCCGCACTGGGCCGGTGTGGTGGGTCATGACTCAATCTCCCTATTCCATCAATAAGGAAGGCATGTGCCCCAGCAATGGGGACATTAAGAGGCTGGTGATGGCATATAGGTACAAATAATATGAATTTCTTTTCTTAAACCAAAATATTCGTATAACGTATCATCCGATCCCCGGAGGACAGCTAGAGACGAAAGGGTTTCTTTTTCCAACATATTAAATAATACAGTTAACATTCATGAAAAAATAATGATAAAATTGTTCGCGTAATGAAGGTCAGTGACGTTAAAAGCAACAAAATTAAAATATGAAATAGTAAACCGAAATCTATACATATAATAAAATGGTAGAAAAGTCAAAACTGTACATTGAATATTTTTTAAAAGAATACTTGGGGTGTGATCTACAATCGAAACCGAAGCCAAAAATATAGTATTTAGAATTTGTCTGTTTATCTGTATATATGTCTGGGATAAACTCAAAAAGTACTGCAAGGATTTACTTCAAATTTGCCACGAATATTATTAAGAAGTCGGGTCAACATATAGGCTACATATTATCCCGCTATCACCGACGGGGAACGAGCTGTGAACCTTTATTTCTTTCTAACTAACTCCACGCGTACGAAGTCGAGGGCGGCCGTTAATACCAAATATTAATATGGGCAAATATGAAAGTAGATGTGTATCAAAGAAAGTGAAAGTTGTGTATACGGGTCGTGATACCTTATGGCGCTGTTTCCCTTTGCCCACTACGACTGTGAAGATAGTAGTGTCTATGACCTATTATTATGTAATGTCGGCATTTTACATTCCTATTTGCATTTGCTATTAGTAAATAAGAGAGTAGGCATTATAGTAATATACGTTATTTACGGGACCGTGCAAACCGTTTGTTACCGAGTACCTTGTTTTTAGCGAGTTTCCGATATTTCGGCACTGTTGCAAACGCCATGATCACGGAGTAACTGTCAGTTACTAGTAAATAACATATACAGGCTATTTGGAAGATGAGTGCAAAGCTTTAAAGGAAAGCTAACAGAGACCATTTAGAAACATTTGAGCCATACTTGTCTAAGACGAAGTGTGACTATTTTCTTTTTAATAATTTTTAACGATTTTAAAGAAAAAAAAACCAAAAAGTACACAGTTCTAAATATTGGCTTACTGAAATAATAAATGAATTCTTTTTGATTTTATTTGACAAAACAAATGTGAAAGCAAACTTAGAAAAAATGTTTAAAACATCTGTAACAGCAAACAATTTTTTACAGATATTTAAAATTATCGTAATTTTTTAAAATGGAAAAAAGCTGTTTATATTAGGCTTACAAAAAAACACAGAGGGTGTATAGTTTGTTCAAAGCTTTTTAAAAACATGTTTAGTTATTTTACTTTCTTTTGGGGTATCTTTATGCATATTGCTTAGAAATTGTTGAAACTAAGACCAGAAATGCTAATTGAGGAAGATTTTTTTTAAGTTTTAGATGAATTAATTAAAACAAAATGTCAACTTTTGTTTTAATTAATTCATTAATTAAACCATGCAAGTTTCAAACAACATAAGAGAGTAGTCTTTCATTTTCATTGCCTTTAGCACATGGCAAGGATATACTTCTGTCAAGTTTAAAAACAACAAATACAAATAGCTATGTAAAGTGCAATCTAATGTGGCAACATTGAGGTGTGGTGTGGCCCTGCTAGTAATTATCCTAAAAATAAATTATAAATTTCTCACCACTGTTTATCTCAGTTTTATAATTGGCAAAGTCTATTTCCATTTCAATAGTATCACTAAGTGGTTCGTTGTAAAATTCTTCAAATGGCAAGTATGGTTTCCTGGCATCTAACACATTTATATCTAATTCGATTGCTGAAACAAAAACAATAAGAGATTTAGCCCTTAAATCATGTATTAGAAAGAAACTAATTTAAACGAGAAATAAGTTTTAAAGAAAGGTGTAAAAAAAATACAGCCGATCTTACTGCAGTTAATATTTCTTGTTGTAATTTTGTTACTATTCATGATATTGAAAAAGGTAACTAAGATTGAGGCACCAATGACCAACAAGAACCATAGATCTTCATTTTATGTGATCAATTAAAATAAGAGTAGGTTGTTCACTAAATATGGTAACACTGAGCGTCTATAGCTCAGTGTTACCATATTTCGTGATCATAGTGGTTCTTGTTAGTCAGTGGTGCCACTGCCTTAAAGCTGCAATCCTTAAACAACACTCTTGTTATAGACGACAATACCTTTTATTGACAATAGTATAAAAATATTTGTACTTACCTAAAGGATCATCAGGCTGTGCATGCTTTGAATTTTTCATTGATGAAAATTGATAAATATGATCTAAAACATCACCTAGAGGGTCTAACTGATTGGCTATAACTATTGGTTCCTCTCGTAGTGTATTGGATTCCATTACTCCTGCTAACATATTTGCGTAATATAATATCTGAAAACAAAAACACAAAAGAACATTCAACAGACTAAATATGGTTAGCCAAAGAAAAAATAATTAACACCAAAAACAACTGTGTAAATCAAAAGAAATTTTTACTAGAAAAAAAAACACGTGGACCAGGCAGCAGACGGGACCCTTCGCTATCCGCTAAATGGCAGATTTAGTACCGCGGCCCTGATGGTCGTGTCGAATTTTCCCTAGTGTTTCTTATGCAAGGTAGCGCCATCTCTTCTCATTGTAGGTAACCCACAATGTACAATGGCGTTGCCTTGCAGCTTAATAAACACTAGAGAAAAATCGACACGGCCATTAGGGCCGCGGTAGCATAATATAGCCTTCCTCGATAAATGCACTATCCATAACAAAAAGATTTTTTAAATAGGATCAGTAGTTACTGTGATTAGCGCGTTTAAAAGAAACCCATTTTTAAAATCGCGTCATCATAGAAATAGTTTTTTTATTACATTAGTTAATCAACTGCGTACACCCAAGCGAATCTCGAATACAAAAGACAAGTTCGTTCGTATTACAAAAGAACGTCACAAGCGTCAATGTGTGTCGTATTCGATGAAAGCGGCAATATTTTTATATCCTAGCCAACTGCGAATATCGCTATTACTGTCTAACAAATATTATGACTTTCAGTTAAACAAACAGGATATGAAATTTGACAAGTAAATTCTCCAAGCCTACTCTAATTCACAAAACTTTCGAACGAAAAGTTGAATTTGACAGATAATTGTTCGAAATTTTAACCTCAAATTGACGAAATGAAAAGTGTTATCTTTTTATTTTCGTGTTGGGATTTTTTGTTTTAATTAAGTCTAAAATACTTATGAGAGTAATTTAATCAAGGCTGCTTAGCTCAAAGAACATTTTTTTAGCATGAAAATTAACAAATAACTCAAATTTTTATTATTATGGTATTTCCAATACTTCAAAGTATTAAACGACAAAGGAGAATGGCAGGGTACTATGGGAGTTTTGTACAGGTATACAAATGTCATGTTTGGCAATGAGATTTACACATTTGATAGATAATATAATTGGAAATAACGACATAAAATAACAGAATTTTAAATGTTGGGGTTTAAAAGTTATAATTGTTTTTACAAATCCTGTTTTAAGGTTTATTTTATCTGTATTTGACTGACAGTGACAGCTAATTTAACGTAAACAAATTGTATATTCCTTTGTTTTTAAAAATCTAAATAATTAATTGCATTTTAATAATGTATTGCTACGTGTCGTCTTATTGTATCTCTCTGTAATGTCCTTAGACTAAAAAGAAATCCGTATTTGTAACTACGATAATTATAAAGACGTGTATGTGCTTTGATATTAAAAACACTTATCCCCTTATGAATAAGCGTAGACTAGTTAGTTATCATGGGCGGATATATTTACCCTAGGGCCAAGAGGGCCATGGCCCGGGGCGGCGGGAACCACGTAAAGGCATTGGTTATTATTATTAACCTAATTGTTAAATACGCCCCTGGTTCATATCGTACTTTCTGTGGTGTTTTGATACCATAATACATGACATCTGTAGGTCTATTAGCTTACTTTTTGCCATTTACTGTGTGTAACTAAGTGAAAATTGCATATCCATTGATGCTTTTCAGAACAAGTATCTTAGTGACATTCTAATAAAGCAGTAGAGATCAAAACAACAACTACAGATAAGCCTCTAGTAACTCTTATTAGATAGATATATTAGTGTAATGTATCTTTTTTATTTTATTTTCAAGATAGGTCCGATAAATGACTCTATATATATATAACTATTCTATAAGATGACTACTATCTACATTGCTTGAGTAAGAGTTTGAAAATCTCCTAGTATCATCACCTAACCTCATCTAATACTGTTCAGGGTATACCACTTTCTTTAAGTGCATACAGACACAAGTAATGAATAGGACACACCACACCATAGAAATTATGTCAACAAATAGCAGGTTTTTATAAAACAATCATATGATTTGTTAAAGTATATATTTTTTAAAAAACAATCGTTTGATTTGTTACAGAATATATTTTTTATAATAATTTAGGTAAACCTAAGGCACTCTTAAAATAACTTCATCTAAGAAGGGTGCAGGTCTAGTCATGCCTTCATGACGAGCATACCCTAAGTACCAGATTATACTCATGACGTGCGAGCAGCACCCAACAGTTCGTAGCCCCACAATGCAGTTGCAACAGTAACTTAAAATTGCTTCACGTCCATTTAAATCCCTTTCGATTACTATAAACACAAAATATGTCTTGGCTGAAGAATGCCGAGACTTTATTTTTGCTCGAATTAACATAGGATTCACACCCCCTAGTCCAGTTATTTGTTCCCGGCATACTTCTAATGTATAAACTCCATGAAACCGAAAATGCTCACCAACATATGATCTTGCCTGTCTTATTTGGTATGTACCACATGCAAATAGCACTAAATCCTGCATGGACAGCCTCGGAAATGGCATGGTTGTGCCATCAATTGGTATAAAAAAAGAACTACGTCTGTTTAAGTTCATTTGTGCAACTATTCCTGCAATAGTGTTCTCCAAAAAGAGCCGTTCATAAATAATATTGAGATACTGTTCGGCGTTCCCTGAATCAGTAAATTGAGTACAGAAGGCATTTAATAGTGCAGCTGCGATTTTAAAATCGTCCATTAAGTGACGACATGCACGGTTAAAATACTCATGCCGAAATATTTTAAAATCGCGTTTGAAACGACCATTCACAGCTTCTATAACCCATCTATTAATTGTAACACAACGCGATCTATTAGCTTGTAGGGTTGTCAGTTGTGAATGGCCTTCATCTTTATTTTCGGGCATGAAACCCAAATAACCTTTGTCATGGAGGCTATCCATGCAGTCACGAAAACCTCGATCTAGAATAAATACATCGTTTTCTCTATAAAAATTGTAAAATCTCCTTTCATTTAATAACTCTCACATTATTGTGGCGTCGTTAGTCGTGGCACTATATGGTCCACAGACATCTATAATGTAACCATTACAAGCGCATAATATAAATGGTTTGAGCAAATTCCGATATTTATGAAGCGAGTATGTATCCTTCTGAAACAAATAATTGGAACTTTTTTGGGTGTATAAATATGTTGCATCTGCAATGGTGATTGCTGGTTTTTGATCTGGAGGAGCTTCAGGGTCACCAAAAATACCTTCTGCAATTATTGAATTATTTTGAACTATTTGCTCTCTTCTTAAATGTTCGAACCCTAAATGTTGAGGTACATATTCTCGAATCAAAATGTCTCGAGCTACCGACATTAAGGTTTCTAATGTTCTTCTGGGGACTTGAAATAAAGTAGATAACCTATCCCCCGAGTCTCCAGTCCTTAGCTTGCACAGAAGTGCTGTTAGGGCAAAACTACCCCGATGCAGATTTCGTAAGCTGGGTGTTGCCTCTAATATTTGCTGGTGTTGTCTTTTTGTTAGACCAATAAAATATTGTACTTGGTGTTCGGGGTAGTTTTGTATGTTTTCATAGGTGACATTGGATAAGCATTCCATTAAAATGAAAACAATTTCCTCAATGTCGCTTGATGAAAAAGTATCCAAGCTGTACTCTGCAGCATAGAGGTCTCCGTATTGTTCTTCATGCAAATGAAGATTGCAAATGCGTGCACCACGAGGAATAAAATAATAATATTCAAGTAGAATGCGACGCCTTGTTTCTTCTGGCACTATATGGCGTTTGGAGCCAGTACAACCACGGAAAATACAGTGGCCTGGTGTTTCAGCTGCTCTCCGTATATTGGGTAATGTTATGTACCGAGGCTCATTAACTGTTATTCTTGAGTGTAATATTCCTTGTGCTCTTTCCCAACATAAAGAGCAAACTTCAGAAATGGAGGGCACCTGAAAGAATGACATGAATGTAATAAATGTAACAAGTATAGTACCTTGCTTTTCTATTCAATAAAATCAAATTACATATTGGCCCTTAACATTGTTTTTTTTTTTATTTATTTAGACATTAATGAAATGACACAAACAATGTAGCAATGCAGAAGACTTTTTAGTACTGAGCCTTTTTGGTACTTCAACATGAATTACACAGTTCTCACCTGCTGTTGCTCCATCAACTCAGATATTATTTCCAATATCTGCCTTTCATTTGGTGAAGATAGCCTTTCTAGTGAAAATTCAAATATGTTGCCACACAGACAACATGTCCTTGATATTTCATCCTGGCTATCATCTGGTACATTTTCAGGCTGGACCATTTCTAATGGCTCTGGCTGTCCACTTCTACGTGAAGCTCTTTGTGCTCGAAGCCAACAAGGTATACAAGCTTCATCCTCTGGAAAAACCTAAAATAAACAATTGCAATTATATTACAAAATCTTCTATATGTATTGATGATACTATGTACTTAAAATAATAAGAATGAAGATAATAGTGTAAGATTACCTCTCGTGGACGAATCCAATTATTGATTACATCAATCATCCTTTGTTCCTGTTCATTTGGCTCTTGAATGACAATTCTACGTGTTCTCATTCTCAATATTGAGCGTCCACATACAACACACACATGGCGATGGCCAACATGCCTCGTAGTTGTGCTTTCTGATGTTGACGAATGGGTTGCTAATTCCCAGCAAGCATGACAAATATGGTCAGAAGGTGTTATCTGAAACAATAAGAGTATGAAGTATAATAACTAACCTAGCTAGTTTTTTACAGTCTGGCTTAAACGATGGCACTCAATATAAAAGACAACAATAATAATAGCTTGAATAATAAAAAAGAATGAAACTATACTTGTTTATTCTATTAACCCAGCCATGTACTTTTAGTAATTTCATTGCTTGAATTGCTGCATCTTTCAGGATCAAAATGAATCAATTTAGTTTAACCGTTGGTCGGCATTAGAAACGTTTATGATTTGATAATAACTACATAGGTACGACTTACCTCTCTGGGATAGGTCCAAAAGCGAATAGTGTCGACTAAGGCTTCACTCTCTTTCATCAGTAAATGCCGCCTGATGCGATCCAATCGAACGTTGCAATTAATGCACTGAATACTCGACATTGTGATTGTATCACCAATGTGTCACAGTGAGCCAGCCAATATTATGAAGATAACACGAAAACTACCTAAACTGCGCAAGCACAGAACAGATTGTTTGTGTTCAATAACACTAAAAGCGTCCTTTCGCAAAATATTTAATTTCACAATTGAATACGGAGGAACCGCGGCTCAAACTCAACGTATCAACGGAAGAAACTTATGGTCGCACAAGTACAAACGAAAATGCCAAGACGAGAACTCGCAAGACATCCACAAGCACTAACCACAAACAGACGCCATTATTGTTTATTTTGATACGCTGACAATGACTTGATAGTGTTGCAAGTATTCATTATTTTACAAGATAAAAAAATCGAAAAGTCTCGAGACTAAAACTATGATCAATTTAATGTCCATATTTATGAAAACGTGTGATTGTATTTCTAATACCGTAATCACACAATCGCACTGGCACCACTTTTTGCCTCGCGTGAATCACTCGTCTCGAAGAAATATTTCTTTGGATTGAAACTTCATTTGGATTTTGGACACTCGTATGGATATTGGACCATTGAGTACATTTTCCACACTATAAGAAATAAGATGCCGAGGATACCCCTTGAATCGCGTCCGACTTACCGCTCTCAATGCAAGCGCGCATTTGAGAGGTGAACAGCGAGGTTACTATCTTCGCGAGTGGGCTCGTTATTCGCCTAGTCACTAGCGCGAATGTGTTATTGTGACAGCTATACAACCCCTGACCCAACCCAACCCACACAGTTATAATCTAAATCTTTAAAATAAATTAACACGTATTTGCCATACGATTATTCCACTACGACTAAAAAATCGATTATTCGATATTTTTACGCATGGCAAGCCTGACAGTAGTTTCTGGTTTTACGTTTAGTTTCTGCTCCTTAAAAATGCGTTTCGTTACTAGTTTTTGTATGAAGATTTCACTTCAAGAATTCTCTTTAATCCCAACTTTTAAAAATATAATATTTACTGGAAAATGATGCTGAAAAATAAAGTAAAAACCTGTGCAAAAATGATACCAAAACTTGCACAATAAGGGGTTGTACGTCAGTACGCGTTCTCCTTTAGGTTGACATACAATCAATTATAACAACTCCACAAATTAGTTGGTTAACACTGTCAAAGGTTCTCATAATGTCATCAAAATTGTTGTCGTAAAGTAATATTCTTTCCAAGTAAAAAACGTAATCTAAAACCTCACCTCGTTTCTCCCCAAGACATCTTAATTTTTACTTCTGCGCAATAATGGTCAGCGCTAGAATATCGTGCCGCGACTTATACGTATTCGGGTAGATTTCCTTTTATTTACCCCACACCGTCTTCGGAAAATATGTGACGAGAGGTGGCAACGCACACGACGGACTTTACTCTGTGGTGTGCGCTCGATAGTTATGTACGTGGTAAAGAAGCGGAAAAAAGAAACCCTTTGTATGACACATCAAAAAATAGTAATGAAGTAAAACAGTATCACTAGTCACGACCGAAAGGACGATGACAAAATATTAGTTGAAGGAATACTTTAGCCTCTAAAGATTATTATTTATCATCAGCAATGCGAATAAAACTATCTTAACGGATTAATCACATAATTAAGGAGGCATCTGGTTCGCATTACACAATAGGGTATTTGACAGTATTAAAAATAAAGTGCCAATTGTTAGCATCGGTATTTAGAATTAATTAATTTATTTATTTATTGGCAGGAGTTTTTACTATTTTTACAGAAAAAATAATCATAGTTTTACTAAAAACACACGATAAAGATAATAGTTTTCTTGTCTTTTGTCACGTGAATAAAACGCTTGGAATTGGTGGAGCCTAAAATTACGTCACGTTCAAGTAAACTTCCAGTTAAAGTGACATTAGATTGTATGGATTGACGTTTTAACGACAGTCGTGTGACGTCACACACCAGTGAGACTCCATATTGTCCAGAGATACGTTTTTCGCGGTAACTTGAAAATAGAGTTTTTGATTTAGTTTTTTTACCGAAATACACAACATAATGATAAATATCCATTATTTTATTTTTATGGACTCTATAAACATTAGTAAATAACGCGAGATCATTTTCTATAACTTGTCAAATACCCTATTCTGAGATATTACGTCACACTTGGTTACACCATTTTAGTGCGCTCTGAGACTTACCTTGTATGATCATTTTTGTAGATATGGTAATAGCAAACTTAAAGCTTTTCAAATAAATATATGCTTATTCTAAAATAATGAAAAAAAAAAGGTTCTGTTCTCAAACCATAATACATATTTACGAGTAAAATAGTTCCTTTCAGTGTTCATAATCGTATTAGATGGATGAACCAACATCTTCTTTTTCTTCTAGGAGGGGAGGTCAAAAAGTTCGCGGAATAAGAGGGAAGGAGGTTGAAATTAAACACCAAATTATTTTTCCTTCAATATATTCTCCCTTAACCCTAATACATTTTTCAGATCTGTCAAATAACTTATTTATACATTCGGAAAAAAAATGATTTGTCTTTGGTGTCACAATAGGCCGAAATTGCGACTTCACTTCTTCATCGTCTTCAAATTTCTTTCCACGCAGCTCTTTCTTAATTTTTGGAAATAAATAATAGTCACTGGGTGCCAAGTCTGGACTGTAGGATGGGTGGTTCAATTGTTCGAAGCCGCATCGATGAATGGCAGCCGTCCCAACATGGTACGTGTGAACGGGTGCATTTTCGTGCTGAAGGAGCACACCTTTTGAGTGGCTTTCCTCTTCTTTTTTCCTTGATAGCTTCTTTCAATTTTTCCAGTAAAGAAGCGTAATACTGTCCCGTTATAGTTACACCACGTTCATTATAATCGATCAGTAAAATACCTTATGTATCCCAAAAGACAGTCGCCATGATCTTGCCAGTCGATTGTGTCACTTTGAACTTCTTTGGAGGAGGTGTGCCTTTTTTATGCCACTGCATCGACTCTTGCTTTGACTCAGGTTCATAGGGGCCGTTCAAGTATTACGTAAGCAGATTTATTACAATTATTTACCCCCTCCTCCCCCTTGTCAGCAAAAGTAAGCAAAGCTCTTACTCCCCTTACGCAGGTACCACACGTGTTTACGTAAACATTGGTACCTATGCATTTTTCCTTTAATGTATTCTGTTTTTTTATTGATTCATGAGCTTCACGAGCAGCAGTACTTAAATAGGCTTAGGATAGAGGACTTTACCGCACATAATATTCATTGAAACAAACTTTATTGACACAGTATTCAACATTGAGTAAGGTCCTATTACGAACAAAACCGACTTCTTTCGCATTTTTGGTATATGGATACAATCTTCAGTCCATGACACCCGAATCCATGATGCTGACGTAATCACTATCTCGACCCCCCCACCCCCCATGTCATCAAAAATAAGCAACGCAAAGACCCCCCTGCCCCCCTATAGTGCTTACGTAATACTTGAACGGCCCAATAGTAGTGAACCCAGGTTTCATCATCAGTACCGATTCGTGTCATAACTTCTTCCTTTCTCCCTCCACAGAGCTCCAAAAACTGGCGAAAACACTCAAGACGTTCGCGTTTTTGAAGTGCCGTGAGCATTCTCGGAACCCATCTTGCACTGACCTTAGTCATCCCAAGATGATGATGTAGAATATTCAAAATACTTGTTTTGCATACTCCAATCATTGCTGCAAGCTGCTTCTTCTTCAACCGGGTATCTTCCAATACAAGTTTTTCTACTTTTTCGACGATTTCCGGTGTGGTGGCCTCAATTGGCCGTCCGGAGCGGGGGCCGTCTTCAATGGACTCTTTTCCTTGTTTAAAAAGACCATGCCACTTGTAAACCATGGTTTTACCAGGAGCAGAGTCCGCGTAAACCACCAACAGCTCTTAAAACATAATCTGAGCGGATTTTCTTTGCTTGGTAAGGAACATAATAACGGCGCGGGTTAAATTTTCTCAATACTGGCTGACTTCTGCCCGATTCAGTTGTTTGCAGGTCGGTAACTCAAAAGTTAATGACCCTATTATGTTCAAACTTGATATATATACTCTTAATGAGGTGCTTAACTACTGCCTACCTGGACGAGTAAACCTACCCCCACCAACCCCTCCATTCCGCGAACTTATTGACCTCCCCTCGTATATCTATTAAACAATACTGTTGAGCAGTGCAACAATATTTTTGCGATCCATGTTACTATTACTAAAAAACTAAAAAGCATCCTATACGGCTGACCACCGTTAAAGGTATGGTCACCTTAACCAAAGCTTTGACGCACGAATTCGCATCGCAAGTTCGTCCAATGCGACGTCACATCGCATCGCATTGCAGTTAGTTATGTGTGGGAGCCCTAATTAACAAACGTACAAGCACAATACTTTGATATTTATAAATTACTCATGTTAAACATACCTTCTGGGTCTGGTTGCCATAGTGACGCTCTCGTCATCCTACACCTGGAAGTGGCTGGTGTAGTTCGTCTCCAATATGTGGTGGAGACTGTCGCTACTCCAAGATGTTTGTGTGCCGGCCGACTTACGTAACTTCATGAGTCTGGTTGCCATGGTGACGCTCTCGTCGTCCTACATCTGGAAGTGGCTGGTGTAGTTCGTCTCCAATATGTGGTGGAGACTGTCGCTACGGCAAGATGTTTATGTACCGGCTGACTGACATACCTTCATGAGTCTGGTTGCCATAGTGACGCTCTCGTCGTCTTGCACTTGGAAGTGGCCGGTGTAGTTGGTGGATATGACCCTCAGTGTGATCAGCTGTTGTAACGTCTCCAATATGTGGCGGAGGCTGTCGCGGCAATTCGCCGCCCAAGTGCGAGCCAAACGGGCTTGAGCTGTACAAACATTATAATGAATTAGATGGAATATTATATACCTTTATCTACCACCCATGCTTGAACACCTCCATTAGGCTTTCGAGTGTCGGTTAATCACAAGAGGCGACGCCAAGTGCGATAATTGAAATGACGCCAAGTGAAAATTGTGGCTGTCTGATCAGTAAGCCCTTAGCGCTGAAGGGATTTAAAAAGCGGAGGAGTGTTATTATGAAATTTAGTGCAACATTATAACACCCGTTTGAGTCTTATAATGGATTTTTATTTATTATTATGACATTGGATGTTTAATGTTGCCAAAAAACTAACTGTTTCAGAATCTTTAGTTTGCACCGATACTAAACAAATTTATGGAAAAACTCGACCGAAGCCTGTAGGTTAAGTGGCCTCCACTAGTGGCTCAATGTGCGCTTGCTCTATTAGGCAAGTAAAAAAATATCAGGAAATATATTACTTAAAGTACAGTCTTGCGACCAATCCGAAATACCAGGAACAATTAATAAGGTCAAGAGCGCAATCTTTTTTCCCTTTTTCATTATTCTTTTATTCTGGTTCAAAAAGCGTTTAATTTAATAATAGCAAGTGATTCAACCTATTAATAATGGTGAAAGACTTGTTTCACAGTACTTATTAAACTTTAAGTTAACTTAAAAAAGGGATTAAGCGCAGTGGCGGCGCTAGACCACATGTGGACGTCGGTACATCAAGTTCGCGAGGCCTATTTTACTTCGCAGTTAAAAACCGTTAAATTAAGTGAGCCAAATTATAAAATAACGTATGAGTAAACGAGTTTTATTGTTGATAATCAAATGATGACAAAAAATAATTACAAACATAGAAATTTAATTACAAAAATAGTGTTGCCAGACAGACGATTCTGAACACCCGTAAAGTACTACTCGCTTCCATCACGCACGTGTTCGAAAATAATAAAAGTCATTATTATCTGCTTAGCTTTTTCCCTGAATTGTTCGGGGTCGGCTACCTAAACCAGGCCAGGAGAAACGAAAATAAATAGGTAACTTGTAAAAATTTTTTGCGAGGCCCCCTCAGGCGCAAGGCCGTCGGCGGTGGCCGACGTCGCCAACGCCTAGCGCCGCCACTGATTAAGCGCATAAATAATCACTGAAAATAGAAAGTAGCCAGAACTATGTTTGCCACTACCCTCTAAAATAATAATCTAAACTTACTACTTTTGATTTGGACAACACGTGTCGTTAGCATAGAGGTATAAGAATAGAGTGAGAAGAGAAAGAGAAAGAAGATGAGAGACAGCTACCTCTCTCTTGGGACACATGTGCAGTCGTTTGTCCAATAGTTGGTCCACGCATCACATCAAAATAGTAAGATGTTTACGGTTGCCAATGCGCATGCTCGATTACAGAGGGAAAGCTAGCGGTCTCTCATCTTCTTTCTCTTTCTATTAGGGGGATACTTCCACTTGTAGTAGAGTTTATATCTCCCCTACTCCATTCTTATATCTCTATGGTCGTTAGTCGCGAATAAATTCTGCATGAAACTGTGTAAGAATGCCTGTAAACTTTATTTATTACCTTTGACAGGTAAATGTTCTGCAGCATGACATAACGCAGGAAGTGCGATCTCCAGGTAGTCACTGCATCCCAGGTCAGGCACCTCAAACGCTATCACGAAGCAATTGACTGCATCCTCGAGGCTCATCTTCTTCGTTATCCTCAGGTCGATTTCCAGGTTTTCCGCCAGTGTCGTCAACGCCGTAACTAACGCTGAACTGTAGTATTCTGATGGCACCTAATGACGAAATGAAAGAAAAAAAAATGTAAAAAAGGTAAAGAACCTACTACTATCTACTGATTTGCAAGTCATTCTTATTACGTAAACAATAAATTACCATAGAATGCATTGCATTATCTTATATGTGAAAATCAGAAGTGTGGGAGTGACACATAGGTATGAAGAAGAAGGACAGGACAGTACAGTAAAGATTGTTACCATGCCACTCATGCTTTAAATCACTTTTAGACTCACTTTTGCAAGATACTGGAAGGCTCTGCGGCATGAAGCTACATCCAAACCAGGGCCTGTTATACTGTCCACATCCTTATCTGGATCACTAGACGAACACATTGCTTTCGATTCTTTGTCTGAAATAAGCATGGTAAGTAAATAAATTTGTACTATTATATCAAATACTCAGACACATGAGAAAATAATATAACTCACCTGAACTTTTATCTCTATCATTACTGTTTTCTTGTGCTACTTTCGTTTGGAAACACCGAGCGAGTATAGCAGGTTGTGTAAATGCTTCCCCCAGAGCTCTTACCAAAGGTTGGGGCATTTTAGTCTGTAGACACTCATCACAAAGCTGATATATTCTTTCCTCAGTTAGTGGTACCCCATCTGATAACATTATTACCAATGCATCAATATAACTGACCAACCAAATGAAATACTCTTTAGAACTCATTTCTGATACACTATTTGACTCCATTATTACTATTAAAAACTATCAATCTTGGAAGCTTAATGTTTTCTTTCTTAATATTGAATACTAACTGAATGTAAAAAATACTGTAAGACTATTAGGCAGGACCAAAACATTTTATTGAGAATAAGCTTTAGGAAATACTAATGACTACATATTGGTTAATTACTTAATCATTAAGCTTAAGTATTCCCTTAATAATCATTGGTAGTACTGATTGTGTAAGAATTAATGATGATAATAATCCATTACTTACTATTATGACTAATAATTGTTTTACATTCCTCTTGCTGATTTATATTATGACTAGTTTCAGGTGCAACCTGCTTTAAGTTTTCTGGCACAGATGCCGCACTTGTGGTTGCAGAATTGGCCTCCTTGCAATTATTATCTGTTTTGTCTTTTGTGTGAGTTGTTGCACATGTTGTACTAAAAAAATTGAGAGAAATACTGTATTGATTAAAGGTTACAAAACATATACAATAAAATTCACAAATATTTCTGGTGACTGGCATTTAATTGTCTAAAAGTTGTTAAAGCAATAATATCGAAGAAAGTCATAATTATCTGAAATTTCTGCTATTAATATGGTTAAATCTGAGACTAATTACAGCTGTTGCAGTATTGTACTGGTACAACACAGACAGTCAAATATTTCACAGGCAAAAGATATGTATTTTTGATATGATAAATGTTTACTCTCAATATCAGATTAGTCAGAAATACAAAATATTGCATTTTTGGAAAAAACTTAAACATTATATAATAGGTAGGGCTATTCGGTTTAGCTTTATAAAGGATATATAAAGATGTTTTTTTTCTATTTTATAGTTAAATGAACAACACGCCACATAACAAAAAACAGATATGTCAAGTTCACATGCAATAGAAGTGAATCCTACAAAAATGGTAACACATAAAATTGGCTGGTTCTTACGTCCTGTAGGGGCACATACTTAGTTTTCATAGAAACTTTGACAATGCGATACAATTATGGAACTGTCAAAGTTCATGAGCCTCTCTCTTCATATTTATATAGGACTTTACCAACCAATTTGGAGGATCTATCTGTTACCAACTATTTTTATTTTATTTCCTGTGTTAAGTATTTTTGTTTTCTTTATTATTATTATTATTATTCACTAAAAATCACTGTAACAAAATTTTCAAACATTTGGAAGGTTTGGATTGTTTAAAAAAAACGGCCAAGTGCGAGTTGGACTCGCGCACAAAGGATTAGATATTGATACTGTTATTTATACAACATTAGACACTATATTATAACATTAAGAAAAAAATACCATAAAATCATGTCTGCTGTATGGGAGCCCTCTTTAAATATTTGTTTTAATTATTATTTAATTATTTATTTTTTAAGACAATATACAACTAAATAGTCTGTGAATATTTCACGAGTCTACTTGTTTCCGATATTAAAATAGAGCACAAAACGGCAAAAAAATCAAGTTTGTTGTATGGGATTGTTCTTTATCTTAGTTTTTTTTCTCAAAATATTTAATCACTAAAAATTACTGTAACAAAATATGCATGCAAAATTGAGAAGGTAAGAGTTGATTAAAAAACTAGAGCCATGTAATAATCAACTACTTCAGTAAGTCCCTACCAATAACAACTAATATTGTTATAATCACACCGTAATTTAATCATTGGTTTATAAAAGTCACACCCCAGTTTTCTATCAAGAATTCATATAAACATAAACTAGTTTGACAAATAATAGTGCCCACTAAAACTAGATGGCGCATTTTAAAATTAAACCTAATAGGTACTGTTAAAAAATAAAGCCATAATTAAATTTATTTTATTTATTGATTTATAAAAGACACAACAATTTTCTATCGGGATGAAGATTCAATTGCCACGCATGATGCAAGGCTTTGGACAAAAAAACTGCTTACCTAGCACTTGACTCACAGGTACTAGCCTCAGTCCTGGGCACTTTGTTCGGCAGACTGTCACAAAGACGTGCTTCCTTATAAAACAATTTAATAGCTTCTGCTGCTGCTTCATTTGGAGTTAAGTTTCTAGCCTAAGGATAATGCATCATAAGTTGTGTTTATTTATTGGTTTCACATATTTTTTTGAGTAAATAGTAATTACTAGTAATTACCTCTCCACTTGAAGCACAATACTGGTTGTCGCAGTTAGGGTTACCACATCCATCTAACAACTGATAAAAATATCTCTCAATTAACTGTTTAGCAGCAGCGCGCTTCATTATGTCTCGAGTATTGTTTGATCCTGGTGATGGGCATAAGCTTGATGTGGGATGACCTTCAGAATTATTTGGGGCCTGATCAATATTTGACGATGATGCTTCGTTCCCCCTACAAAAAGAATTAAAGAGGTACCTACTGTTTTCTTTTTAGCGATTCCTTTTGTAAAATATATCAAAACAACAACACAAAGGACAAAAATAGCAAGTAATGCATAACCTAACCTTTTGTCTAATAATTACGCAGTAAACAAATAAAGCATCACTCTGCATTGTACTTTTGATCATAATATTTATGATACACTATTTTAAAAGTAAAAATAAAATTATTCCTGTGAAGATTTTTTTAAAAGTTACCTTGAAGCTTCGTCAGTTTCACTTTTTGAGTTCATAGAAATTAATGCTCTCCAATGCAAAACACCTTCTAAGTGAAAACTGATAAAAATACAATAAAATCCCGAACATTGACCAGTTAGTATGTATTCAGAATGTTTTCACCAAATAAACTTGGGTAGGTACACAAAAAAATCACAATCTTGCTGCTGTTCCACAATCTGTCAACCATTTTGAACTTAGTCGTTTCATTACATACAGGAGTTTGTAATGTTATTGAGATTAAAATATATTAAAAATTATATTTATATTTTTTTTTCTTAAATATCATGCATATTTTTCACAATAAATTGTTTATTTATTTTATTGTAATTATCCGCAATATCTTCAAAAGTTCCGTAAATTGGAGTACTTCTAAAACCACAGATTACTTAGTATACATGGACTGAATAACGGTATTTTCATTTTATTTTACTGATATTTTCTTGAAATATCGATAATTGCACGAGAACATAAAAATATTGTTACTTAATTTTTGTTATTTTGTTTATAATAATGACAAACGAGACTAAATAAAAAATTGTATGTGTGAGCTCCGACGTTATTCTCTATACGGAATGAAAAGGAGAGACTGATGTTAAATTTAGTTTTAAGTTTAGAGAATCACACCAGAATTGGCACCATTGTTTTATAGATCCTTACCCGTTATCAATGACCTACGACAATGCGATACTATTTCATTTTCTTATTTTATTTTTCCCGTCTGTTTAGAAAGAAAAGAAAAATAAAATTGAAAAATAAAAATAAAACTTTTTTTGTTAGATTTTAAAAACACTGATTAAATTTTTTAGTTCTTGACAAAACGGTGACAAGTCTGTGATTGCTATTTAGTTAGTTCTTTGAGTAAAAAAACATATGTCATATCAATAGATATGAATAAAAAAAATGGTCGTTTGTTGTTAACACACCAAAAAGTAGATGAGTGCATCAAATTAAAATTATTATTACAAAGATATATTTTTAACCCTTCGGCTGATATTTCGGTTTCCGTCGGTTACAATTATTTTTTGTCATATTAATATATTTTTTTGTGCGATCTCCTTGGCATACGATTCTATTTAGGAAAAAATCAAATCCTATTGAATCGTTTCAAAAAATCGCTGGATAGTTTTGCCGTAAATCGATCTTCTAATAGATCAATTCAACGGGCGACCCTACATTCAGTTGACAATGACATATGTCAATGTCGCTCATTGACATGATGACATGACAGCAATGCAATATAACACGGATTTCTTTCTCGATGATTTTTTTCATTACTAAAACAAAATACAGTATTTCGTGATCGTGGATAAAAACTTTGAACTAGATTTAACATCATTTTCATATTTGTGTTATATTTTTTCATAAGTTCCCAACAAGTAGTACTTTTTTCAACTAGAACCAATTATCCTACAACCTACAAACAATGACGGAAGTAATGGCAACAGAAGAAGCCAAAGAAGAAACACGAGGAGAAGCAATACTCAAAGGCTTTCAAGTGTATCCTTTTCATTTCATGCATAGTTTTTTTATGATTATTTTAATGTATTTTTCAACTATAACTATGATGCAATCTGTCCTGCTAACGTGGACAGATTTTCCTTAGCATAAAATATAGTAATTGGATGAATTTGCGGGATGCAGACACAGGTAATTCAAATGTGATTCAAATATTGTGTAATCTTCACATAAAGCAGTAATTCTGATAGTATGTATGTCAATTCTGAAAATCATTACAGATTAGATCATAGCATTTGCGTTGTAAAAATACTAAAGGTATCCAAACAGTTGTTTCTTTACATAATGTGTTTCATTACAGGTAAAATTCTGTGGCAGCATAATGAAGATATGTCCAACCCCGATGTGGAGCATGAGGCCCGAGTTCCAAAGCGTATTCTTAAATGTAGAGTAGTCTCCCGTGAGTTAAACTTCAGTTCGGTTGAATCCATGGAACGGTTCCGGCTAGAACAAGTTAGTACATTAAATTTCATTATTTTCAGTTCTTATTGCTAAATCATTATTAATAACAGCTTAAAGTTAATCACATTATAATATAAGATGTTCAACTGAACATCGACTTATTATAAAAGTAATGTAATTTCATATCAAATACCTACACAAATTTTTATGTCAATAGTAATCCATTATTTAGTATGCAAATATTTTGACCAGTACCTTCTATCCAGTGTTGGGCATAATTAATTACTTTTGTAATTTAATTACTAATTCAATTACTTATGTCCGAAGTAATTTAAATTACATTAGTTTGTAATTCAAATTACTCAATTACTTTTTACAGCTAACATAATGAACTACTAAAACTGAGCAGTTATTAGCTTGATGCCCGTACGCAGCACAAAAAGCAAAACACAAACAAAGTTTTAGTGTATAATTTGCCATGAATTTATGAGTGTGTAAGTGTGTGCTTCGTTACCTGTACCTACACAGCTACCTATCCCTTTTCTAGTCTCCTGGGGGCATGCACCTTTATTTCAATTGATTGTTCTCATATGCTACAATGATTAATTTACCAAAATCTAACAAACTTTCTGTTCAAATGTTTGAACAAAGAGTAGTATTATAGTCTAATTTAAAATAAATCAAACATTTATTGTCTTAATTTTAAAAAAGGTGGTTGTAAATTACACAATTTATCTGATCTATTTCGTAAATAAACATTGGATATATCATAATAAAATAGTTTAATTTAAAATACTACCTCATCTTTAAAATAGATTCTATACAATTAATTGAGTAATTGCAATTAACAATTATAATTTCTAATTTTAATTGTTAATTGTATTACATTTCAATAATTTCAAGTCATTTGTAATTAAAGTCACTAATAACAATTTGTAATTGAAATTGTTAATTTTAAGTTAATTACATTTTGCCCAACACTGCTTCTATCCACACACGTAACTTCATAAAGAATTCTATATAATGTAAGTCTCCCATTTTAGGCAATTACTATCTGATCCTCATTTGTGGCTTGTCCCTTATTTGATCTCTTGGTCTCTAGTCTAGAAGTTTGTTATATTGAGACTTCAGTTTTAGAGCTGGATGTACTGCTCACTCCATTGTAGGTATACAATATAGTTTTCATATAAATTGCTTTTAATTAAATCACATCATCATGTGATTAACTTTTTGCCTTTGGTGATCTCTTTCATTTCAAAGATGGAAAAAAATTCAGCTATATCATGTTGAGACGCCTTTAGCTTTAGGGTGGGGAAAAGCCTCCCGGGTTCTTTTATCCTGAAAATTCTGAACTCTACACATGTGCAATTACTGGGAAGAACTAGCCATTTTATTTAGAAAAATGCATTCATAATAATATTTTACATGTTTATTTCCCTATTGTTTTTTTTTTCAGAAAGTTTTGTTCAAAGGGCGTTGCTTAGAAGAATGGTTCTTTGAATTTGGCTATGTCATTTCTAATTCTTGCAATACTTGGCAGTCTATGATTGAGTCAGCACCTGAATCCCAAATGATGCCTGCTAATGTTTTAAAGTAAGTTTAAATATATTAATAAGTAAAATCTTTATATGTAGCTATAAACATTCATATAACTAATGATTAGTAAATGGAGTTGTATTCATTTTATATTAATTTAATAGGAAAAATTGATATCCTACTCTAATATACTAGGAAAATATCCTGGGAAGATGCATGCTTAATGCACCAGTAATAATAGTGTAATGTGTTTGAATTGATAATTAATAAGTAAATAAAGGACAATGCCTGTTGCACATTTTTATTCACTTAATGTTGTGGTGAACCATAAAAATATAATATATCTAATTTAGTGTTTCATTTTTATTTCAGTGGCAATGTAGTCATAGAGACAAAATTCTTTGATGGAGATATGCTGATCACAACTTCGAAAGTAAGGCTGTTTTATATTTAAATATAAAATACAATTTCACAGCACAAATAGATGCATTTCTAGTCAATTAATTGAAATGAAGCACTTTACGATTATAGGGACAAATCAGTGTATTTATTAAATTGTTGATGGACATATTCTTTTGCATAATGAGCTTCATTCTTGCTGCATTTGTTATATTTCAATTGAGTGGTGTTATGCAGAAAGCAGACAATTTTTAAAGCTAGTAAGAATGAGTCTGTGGAGTAATCTTTAAGTATAATTGTGAAAGCAGAAAGTGGTCATTTTTGTGATCAATTAGAATCAAATTTTAACATGGGATCATAGAACAAATTTTTGCTTGCTTCGAAAATCACTATCTGCTTAATAATGCTCAATTATTTCTCAAAAAACAATTATTCCATATCAATTGTTGATTTCTCTTTTGAAGTTTTAGTGTACAAAAGAATTGAGTAAGAATAAGATTGTATGATATAGTAAATTAACCATTCAATCTGTATCTATTTATCTTACTGCATTTTCACATTAAATAAATATTAAATGAAACAAATTGATAATTTTACTGTGACTTTTGTGTTTATTTATTATGATTTTTCCAAGCCAGGCAATTAGAAAATTTTAAATTATTTTTATGTCATTCCATGTATGTTCTCCTTCAATAAATTCGGAAAGGTGATTTTTAATCTGCCAAATGTTTTTAGAACTATCATACAATTTTCTGGTATTTCATAACAACTTTAAAACACATTTTGCATTTTTTTTTCAATTCCTACACCATACATTTATATGCCCCAAAACCTAATAAAAATTACGCTCTTATTTCTTTAAAATTATTTGTCTAATAGTGCATATTAATAAGCAATAGTGGTGATGACAGGGTAAATTAAACGAAATTCTGTTTAGTCAGTCATTTAAATTATCAAAAAATAATGAACACATACTTTTTCTTTTGTCAAGCAACCAAAAAATTACGTTACTTCTAAGACGTGACGTCATGCAACATCTCAAATCAAATATCTCTACGGTTTTGACTATGAAAAAAAAAGAATAAACATGTGTCCAATACTTTTTGATAATCTACCTGCGGGACAAAAAACAGTTGGTCATCATACCTATTGAGGGGTGAGTCATAGTAATATACTTATAATAATAATAAAAAAAGGAACGTGCCTTGCTTGAAAATCTTGACATTCTTTTTTTTTGGTGATGCACATATAATTATATATTACGTCACTTTAACTTGTCTTTCGTTAGGTTGTAATTGTTTTTTGTTTTGAATTATAAAAAAACAAAGTTTTCTCCGCGCATTGGGCAAAAGTATTGTTTTTAATATTTATAAATACAGGAAAGACGCTTAACATAACACAGCAGACGCCACAGGTACATTTTACCAAATAATTTACCTCACAATATATTTCACGTCGGTGTCGTTATGTCAGTCATACCGAGAAAAAAAGGAGAAGATTAATTTTGTCATTTGGATAATGTCATCGATTTCACTCCACCACTGGGTATTCCAACAAGTCTAATCTAATTAACTATAAGCACTGTTAATACACAGGTACCATTAAACATTATAACACATCAGACCTCAGGCCCAAGCGCGAACTTTGACAGCTTCGTAAAATCGAATATCATCGTCAAAGTTTCTATGAAAACTAATCAGCGCCCCTACCGGCCGTAACAATAAACTGGCTCTTTCCATTCAAAATTTGACGATGACGATACGATTACGGAGCTATCAAAATTCGTGCGTGAGCCTCAGATAAATTTCTAATTCAAATGCATTATTTTAATTATTATGTCTGCATAATCTCTATAATGCATTTTCTTTGGTACATTTGAAACCGTGTTGGTGTTGGACGGACGTATGGCATTTAGTCATTAATTTTGAACTTTATTTTGTAGTAAGAAGTGCGATATTCTTATGCATATCATGAATCCTTTTCGAACACTCGAACACGAACACACTCGAAAATGCATACAGTACCAGGCCATTTATAAGTCGCATCGTGCTTTAGAGATGTACTCGGCTAGCTTCGGCTACTTTCGGCTCTGTAGAGTATCTCTGTCTAAAGCTCGATGCAACTTATAAATGGCCGGGTACTGTACATTATTTGTTAACAGTATCACCTTGAAGAATAGCTAAGTATGATACTAATAAATACTATATCTTTATTGTATACATATATTATTATCATTTATGTTTGCAACAGCGATGATATAACGATGCTATATAAAGGATCTCATTTAAGTACATACGTGAATTTCTAACATTGTAATATCTACTAATGTGTTTGAAATTCACGTATGTTTATCTATAGATATGTGCATTTTTTGTTTGTACCCAACACAACAATCGACATTATTGTGTTGTTATTAAGAGCTATTTCATTAGAATCTTATCTCATTATGATCTGTCTGTCCAATAGGATATTTGACAGTATTAAAAATATGTGTTTAGATTTTATATTGGCAGGGGTTTTTACTATTTTTACAAAAAAATATTCATAATTTTACTAAAAACCCTCGAAAAAGATATTAGTTTTCTTATCTATTGTCACGTGACCCAAAACGCTAGGGATTGGCGGAACCTAAAATGACGTCACACGCAAGTAAACTTCCGGTTAAAGTGACATTACATTGTATCGTTTGACGTTTTAATAACAGTCGTGTGACGTCACACACTAGTAAGACGCCATATTGTCCAGAGAAACGTTTTCGCGGCAACTTGAAAATGGAGTTTTTGATTTGGATATTTTTACTGAAATACACGACAAAATGATGAATATCCTTTTTACGAACTCTATAAACATTAGTCAATAACGTGAGATCGTTACCTAAAGCTTGTCAAATACCCTATTGCTACATTTTGAAACATAATTATCAAGCAAAATAACAATAAAAAATAGGTATTGTAGTTAATAGAAATTCGGAGCTGAAAGCACATTGTTTAATTATAAGAATCATTAATTGGATCGTCCAAGTAGGTATTATTAGTGAAATAAATTTAATTTTTAAGTTATACTATTTGTTTTATTTTATACGTATTGTTACGTAGTAAGAACTACCTTAACTTTGGTATAGGGAAATCCAATGAAATCAATTAAAAATAAATAGTTTTTTGTAAAAACTTGTTTAACAATATTGTAAATATTATTTTGATTATAGAATTACTTTTCATGTAAATACCAAAACTTCCAATGAAAGAGCGAAAGAGCTTCGCAAAAGAGCTATTCGCTGAATTAATAATCACGAAAGCTTAAAAAATACTCGAAGGATTGTCATGATCTTTTTAAAAAAATTAACCATATCATAGATAGGATATTTAGTTGTTTGGTAATTTTACTATTACGAAAATAACTTTTGGTAAATTACACAAATTTTATAATATTCAGTAGCTATCTTTAATTTAACATCATCATCATTAGTTTATTAATGTCCCCACTGCTGGGGCCCAGGCCTTCGCTATGGATAGAATAGGCAGATTAGGCCATAACCCACCGCGGCAGCCCAATGCGGATTAGTGGGTGCTAACGACCGCAGATGCAGCCGGGACCAACTGTTTTACGTGCCTTTCAAAGCACGGAGGAGCTCGAGACAGTAAATTTTTGGTTACCTATCCAATGACCGACCAATGCGAAAGTTGCTTAGCTTCAACGATTGCAGCCGAACTCGCTAATTAATTGTGCCATTGAGCTCTTCATCTGACCCTCCTGATCTTTAATTTACTAAATGGTAATATTTTCTTTTGATTAGAAGTTCAATATGAATTGATGGACACTCCAATCACTAAAAGCGGTGCAGCCGTTTCGAATCTAATTTTTTTATTTATACAGCCGCCATTTTGGAAATGGTGCACCATCTTATATTCCAGTAGTTGAAATTTATGGTTCCTCGGATGAAATCATTTAAATAGTTCCCTATCTCTAGTATAATTGGGCAAAGCGTTTGCTTACTGCATAAAATGCAGCTTCCGATGAAAATATCGCCGTAAGCCGAGATTTCGCTAGTAAATTTTCTCAGATAACTCAAAATTCACGGTATATACAGATGACATACAAATGACTGATTTATGTAAGAATATGAAAGATACGGTAAATAGAGAGATTACTATAACAGTTTTTAGAAACCCCTTTAGGGTGGTACAATGGTGTCGAAAGCCTTTTATTGAACTTCTTCATTTCTGGATACTATTATTATGGGAGTAACAAAAAAACGTCGATAATATATTTAAAAAAAATATATCTATGATTTCGCAATTATTTTACACTAGCGGTCGCCAGCGACTCCTTTCGCGTTAACTTTAATTTTTTGAGAATCCCCTGGAACAATCTAGGCTATTAACTATAGGTATGCGTACCAAATTTCAGCCAAACTCGTTCAGTACTTTTTGCGTGAGTCAGTAATAAGCACACAAACTTTTACATTTATTCAATTACTAGCGGCCGCTTGAGACTTCGTCCGCTTTAACTTTAGTTTTTTGAAAATCCCTCAGGAACATAACACTTTTCCGGGATAAGAAGTATCCTATGTCTCAATCCAGGTCATAAACTGTACTATGCATACCAAATTTCATCATTCAAATTCAGCGGGTGCCCGCGACCTCAACTGCGTAGTTTAATTGGTTTCCTATACAAACACTCAGCCCCCTTTTAACCACCTTAAAGTGCGATTTCTGAGATCAAAACTATTATATGTACTTTCCCGATACTCAAACCGAACTACTGCAACTAGAGAAAACCATATCTATACCACATTTTATCACAGTCGGTTCAGTGGTTTAAGCGGGAAGAGGTAACAAACAGACACACTTTCTCATTTATAATATTAGTATGGATATGGAAGGATAGTAGGATAGAAGGAAAGTCGTATAACTTTCTGGGTATGAAAATGGAATGCATTTGAATTTCTCTGCCTCACATCGTACTAATCGCAGGTACTTCATCATGCTCAATAAAAAATCCTACAACTTATACCTAATCAATAAAGAAATATGATATGGAAACTTTGAAGGGGATCAACTGTAGAACAGCTCAAACAATGGCTTTTGCACACGAGTATATTATCTCGAGCGAGAACATTGGCGAGTCGTGACTCGATAGCGTATCTCATTAGTACGCTGACACGTATAACGATATTACCATAGCGAGAATGTTGAGCCATGGGCGTCACCTGCAGGAAAAGTCACGAGACAGGAACCTTTTTGTGAATTAAATCATAGTTGCCCACGCGCACAACGCACATCCTCTTTAGTGAGAAATATTGTCGAACGAATTTCTTCGTAGTGCCCCGCCGAAGGAAGCAACGCTCTTTTTGATGCACAGCGCACACACCAGTTCGCATATAAATAATAGAAATTATCTAATTATGAGCCGGCGACTAGACATATGACTTGTTGGGAATCGTAATATCGGTCGTGTTGTTCGAACAATTAATAATAATCATTACGATGACGTATTATCGATAAATATTTAACGTTTTTTTTTCGTGATACGCGGGTCGATGTTATCGGTTACCAGCTATTACATATTGTAATAGTGCGATAAGCTGCCTAATTGTATACATAAAGTGGGTTTTTAAGATTTCAGGCAGCGGTTATAATGGAACATTTTTCTACAAAGTTTTTTTAAAGTTGATATTTTGAAAAGGAACGTTAAATCATAGCGTTCAGCGAGTGTAATTTAGTTGTTGTATTTAATTGAGTAATGTATTCTGATTTGATTCTGATGTTTGAGAGATGAGAGCTAAGGGGCCGTCCATTAATAAAGTGTTTTTTTGGCATTTTTTAACATTATTTAATGTACAGTATCCTCGGACCACGGAAATACACGTGATATATTACTACACCCCCCTGCCCCCTTGTGATATTACTTGTTTTTTTATGCCCCCTCCCCCTCCCCCTTTGAGCCTCACGTGATTAATGAACAACTCCTTATTTGAGCTTAGCAACTTCCTTATTATATGCATGCCCTTTCTAATACACTTTCCTACCACGGGCCTGCTAGAAGAAATTTCAGATTGAAATAAGGTGTGCCCTTGTACATGTACCAATCTTTAATTAAGTTACTCCTGTGTCTACATTTGTGTGTACAGAATATACATAAATAAATAAAGTTATTGTGAACATTGTTCGGGACGCTGTTTGCTTCATCATTTGCAAGCCGCGAACTATGTTTGCGCAAGACCGGTGCTTCTGATAAACAAAGATGCTGAAAGGCGATGACAGGTAGGTGGGAAAATGAGATCGGTATATACAATCTAATTATATCTGCAATCGTATTGAATATCGTCTTATAATTATCTTCCACCGTTTGACTGGTGTAATTTAGTGCATCCTGAAACATTGATGGATTTCTGCCATTGAGTCTCTAGGTGACTTCTTGAGCATAAAATGTTATGGAAAACGTAGTCTGCGTAATAGCAATTTTACATACAAAACGTCTACTGCCCAATTTCGTGTTCCACCTCAAGAAGTTTGCCGTTAGCTTTACTAACCTAGATCTCTCAGCTAGATAGCTAAGGCGTCTGGAGCACCTGGATACACACTGAGGCCAACTAACGTATTTTTTTTATGTTACAAGCGTATGGCCCTCCTGTTAGTAAGTGGTCACCATAGCCAATAAACAAAACTATCACACTCGCTGTTGCTTATTCCGACCCAATCCCCTACCTCGTGGAGAACTGAAAATTACTCAACGACAGAAACACAACACCATACAAATGTGGTGTTATATTACTGTGTTTTTTGTAAGGTGGAGGTTACTTCCACAGACGTTCGCTGCAATTCTAACCGAAAATTCGCTATGTACCTCTCTTAAAATCTGTTCTAAATGGGCTTTCAGAAGTTGACGATTTGGAGCTTGCAAGAGGTATTTTTGCTCAACCTCTCGATAGATTTGGTCTCTATATGTGCTCTACCATTTGTGCGA